TTTAGTTTTTAGCTGTGGCCATAATACTCAACTGAGTGTGTGTTTTGGGTTTTTTTGTTTTTTGTTTTGCTTTCTGATTGCCTCTAGGTAGATGTGATCAGGAGGTGGGCTTCCCTTTTCACTCTTCTTATTGCCTAGCTCAGAGTAACTTTTGCAGGTGTTGTCTGCTTCCCTAGTATCTGGCAGTTGGTATTGGTTCTTACCTGGATTGTGGGACTTTGTAGCATGTGTTTGTATCTTAACTGTATGGCAGCAATTGCTGTCCTTTCTTGGGTAGTATAGGGAGCAAAAGAGCCCCCTAGAGGTAAAAGGGGGAACAAAACCAAAACACAACAGAACTAAAGAAAAGAAAAAAACAGCAACAACAGAAAAGAAAGGGAGAAAAAAAAAAAAAACAAGAAACAAAAAAATCCCAAAAAATAAACAAAAAACCAGATTGGATATGTAGTCTATAATTGCAGGAAAAGGAGAGGAGCGAGAAGAAAGAAAAGAAAACAAAAACAAAAATCAGTAGCCTAATATGACAATGATTTAAGGTCCTCTTTCAGCTTCTTGCCTTCAAGGCCGTCTGATAAATTTCAAGATGCCAGTGTTTGTTATGCTGTACCTCAGGATTTAATTTTTGGCCTGTTTAGTTTTTAAACTCTCTCCCTCTCCTCACCCCGTTCTGGCCTTTTCCCTATTACTAGACAGTTCAGGGCCAGCCAAGCTGCCTGTTTGTAGTGTAGTGGTTATGAATTGGGCTGCCAAGCCCACGGCTGGCAGCTGGAAACCACCAGCTGTTTTGCAGGAGAAAGGCTAGACCCCCTGCTCCTGCAAAGATTCACAGCCTCAGAAATTCCTCCAGGGCCACTGTGAGCCGGAATCAACTCCCAGCCCTCAAATAGCAAGAAAGGCCAGTGCCTCGAAATGCTGAGAAGATCTGTGTGCATGCATGGTGGAAGAACCCTCCAGTGGTGAGGATGGAGTGGGGGCTGTCCACTCACTCAGGCACCCCCTCTAGTCACCAGAATGGAGATGCGCAGACAGCCAATGAACAGATTTAAAAAAAAAAAAAAATCAGAACAAAGCAGAACCAAATAGATAATATTGTCACCTTTGCTCCGAGGTTCCTGCGGTTGTTAATTCTCACAGGGTCTGCTTGCTCTCCCATCTGGTCCCGTTGTTTGGTCTTGCCCAAGTTGCTAGCAGGGAGTCCAGCAGATTTTAAAGTACAGGATTTCTTACTTCCACTACCAGTTCCACTAGCTATGAGCTGTCAAACTTTTTAAATATTCCTACCTATGTGGTTCAGGGTTTTGGAGCTCTGCCCTGCACCCACTTTCTCTGGTATTCTGTGGTACTGCTGAAGGTGAACTTCACTGCACCTCTACCCTATCTGCCATCAAGCCAGCTGTAAGTCAGTTTCTGTTTTGAAAGATGGAGAATTTATTTACCTATTTTAGTACGTTAAATTTTCTTAAAGAATATATATATTTTTTCAGTTGGAAAATAGATATACCAGAAAACGGTAAATACATTTTGTCTTTTGCCTGTTTGCTAATGTAATTTTTCATTGTTAAGACTTTAAAGTACTTAATAAAATTAAATTGTGCGTGGAATTCTCATGATCATAAAATCTCATGGGACAACTTAACAACCTTTATGGTTTCTGAAAAATTGGAAGAAATCATGAAGTTGTTGATTTGAGGATCTAAGATTCTCCAATCAATCTTTTTTTTTTCAAATATCCTAATCATTTATTCTTTTGCTTTATTATTTTCTTCCTGACTTTTTTTTAAAAGTTTTTATTATGAATTATGTGGGTTTACATGGGAGAAATCAGTTTTACATTCATCTATCGTATTTCATTTCATTGCACTGATTACGGTCCCCTCCATGCATCATCAAACAACCAAAGGGTACACCACACAGGCCTGTCCACCGGCCGTCAGCACACAGCCCCTCTCCCTCCCTGAGTTCAGTGTCCCCAGCCGTTCGATCTGCCCACTTCATTGTCTCTGCCTCCATCTCTGGCGTCACTATTTCTCTGGGTAGGGTTCCGCACTCCGCTCTTCTCACTTGATGTTCCCAGGGACCTCTGCTCCTGGGCTGCAAAATCAATCACCCCTTTCATTTTGTTACAAAACATCTACCTTTCCATTTCCGACCCTCACAGCCAGTCCTGATGGCAATTATTCACTATTGTACCACAAGAGTCTTATCCCCGTTTCCTTTCACCAGCCCCGTCCCAACAGATTGGAAATCATTCAGTGGAGATGCTACCTTCCCCCGCCCCATCTGGAACTAGGCTCCCTCTTGAAAACTTGTAAGCCAGTCACTTCTTGCCTTTATAGCCCCCCCCATTTGGGTAGCCAATGATCCTCGCTGTAAAGATTTTGTTTCCTTTTTTGAGCTATTACATCCATAAGTATAGGTAAAGTTCATCAAATTGTAGTGGGTTACTCTTTTTTTTTTTTTTTCTTTTTTCTTTTTTTCTTTCCTCTTCTTTCTTCTTCTAGTCAAGTTCTGATCATCCAGCCATTGAAGCCAGGTCAAGTGGATGCTGTCTGCAAGTATGGGTGTTCTTGTGCATCTCCTCTCACTTCATATCAGCTGGACGCTTCACTCTCCACTCTAGTCCTCTGTGGCCATGTCACTGCCTCTGGGCCCAGTACTGCTGGCCATCCAGGTCTCTACCTGGGTTCACAGGGGTCTATTGAATGTGGTCGGACTTAGCTCCCAACTACATTGCTGTTTTTTCCCCCTCTTCCACTTATCGGTGACCATTGTAGTCACCAGCCAGACCACATGCCTGCTCATGTATTCCCCTTGAGTCTTAGTCTTGGAAGGGAGTTTGCTCTGAGGCTTGCCTTGATGGCTCTCAGGTGAACAGCTTATGTGTTCTTGTAGAAATCAGTCAGACTACTGTATTGTTTCTGATTTTTCCTGCTGGTCTTTCTTTCACAAAGTATCTTCTGTTCTTCTAGCCGCTCCAGGCTGGTCGACTCGTCCTTTCCAATGGAAATTTCCCATCTCAGATGATGCTGGTTGGGGTCTCGATTCCACCTATGGTCTTATGCAATGCAAAGGTTCCACAGGAGGCCTCTTTCACTGGGCTACTTCTAGACCCCTTTAAAGTATTCCAATCAGTTATAGGGTGAAGACAGACTTACAAGCTTTTTATTGTGATGTTTCTGGCTATTCCTCCCCCCCTCCCCCCCCATCTAGTGTCTATTTTACAATGGTAGGCAAGGGAAACCAAGATTCAAAAGCATCTTAACATTATTCCCCTCTTTTCCCCATTCAAACCATGCCTCAAACCCTGTATCCCAGAGCCCTTTTGTTCCAAGGTTGTGCATACATCATTTACCTCTGTCCCACTTAGCCCATGTAAACCTGCCTAACTGTTCTCCCATCAGCCTTGTTCTTCCATTCCCGTCCACCCCAGCACCCAAGCTTTCCTGTATCTATTCCCTACCCTGTGCTCTACCTTCCCCTCCTTCCCTCCCCTCCTCTCATCCTATACATCACGGTGAGTGATCAATCTTTCTTGTTCCTGAATGCACACATTGCAATATTCATTATGAAAATCCGTTTTTAGTTTTCATTTTGCTGTGTGCTCTTTGGAGGCCAAGTAATACTAGCATTTTCTATCTGCCATCTAGGGGTATAAAGGGATCACCTGCTTCATAGTAGATCGCGATACTGAAGGCTTTCACATAGGAAAGGCAGAAAACAAAATGGGGATCCGAGCATCTTCTACCTGCCCATTAACACTTGAAAATGTGAAGGTGAGTAGCTTAGGGTTTTCAGTCAAAGACTGGTGTGAAAAAGCTCTGTTTGTATTTACAGGAAACTCGTAGCTTTAAAGGTACACAGGATGTATCCTGCACTGTGATGGTGCAGTGGTTAAGAGCTTGACTGCTAACCACAAGGTCAGCACTTCAATCCCACCATCCACTCCGAGAGAGAAAGCTGAGGCAGGCTGCTTCTGGAAAGATTATAGCCTTGGAAAGCCTGCAGGGCCCTTCTCCCCTGTCCTATAGGGCCTCTGTAAATCAAAGGCAACTCCAAGGTAGTGGGCTTTGGGGGTTTGGGGCTGAGGTTACACTGTGACTAAGTGTACTTTTCTCAAGAGCTTAGTCCAAGGGTGGAAACCTCAATGCATGTTAAGATAGCTGCCCTTGGGAGCAATGCCAAGGCTCTTGTTGTTGTTGTTGTTGTTGTTAGGTGCCATTGAGTCGGAATCGGAACTGACTCATAGCGACCCTATGCACAACAGAACAAAACACTGCCTGGTCCTGGGCCAACTTCACAATTGTTGTCATACTTGAGCCCATTGATACTGCCACTTTGTCAATCCATATCTCTGGGGGGTCTTCCACTTTTTCCTCTGAACCTCCACTTTACCAAACATGATATCACTCTCCTGACAATATGCCAAACAGTTAGGATGTCAGTCCACCGGAGGCCACCAGAGGGCGATGTTGCTCAATGAGCGTGGAAAATGCTCAGGTCCCACAGGGTGGAGTGGAGTTGAATCTGCAGAACCCTGATCTTGAACACTCTGGGTGGACAGGAAGGGTTGTGATGGGCTTTCCTTGCTGCTTACCGGTGTGTAGAGGGTCTCTTTACACATGTCATTGCGATCTTATTGCTTCACCCCAGCTGTCCTCATGTCTCCCTTCCCTTTTGCCCCTTTGGCTCCTAAATGCCCATGTTCTAAAGCTAATTGCGGTTTTATTCTTGTTCCTCGTCTTAATGGTTTTTTTTTTTTTTTTTAGTCTCTTCACTGCCCTTTTTCTCCTCATGCATGCACGCACACATAACCTCATTTGATTTTTATGGGGGTGAACAGTCTCAACTGAAGAAAGGTTCATCACTGTTGCAAGGACTCACATGTTTTTTGTAATTCCTAGTAAGAGAGGCCTTCAAAAAGTTCATTGAAAAGCTCCCTTATGTTTTCATTCCATTTTCCCACCAACTCTTTGAAGTCCCCTCATGTGTTAGCCCCGTTATTGAGTACACATAAGAACTGAGGGAAGAAAACGGGGTATTCGTCTCTGCCATTGCTGAATTGTATGAGATTCTCTTATGGTGGGAGATTACAGTCATGAACAACGTAATTGGCGTGGTGGGAAGACTGGCTGGAAGGAGAGACCGAGGCTAGGCATTGGGCTGCTAACTGTAAAGGTTGGCAGTTCAAGCCCACCAACCCCTTTGTGGGAGAAAGGTGAGGCTGTCTGCTCCCTTAAAGGCTGGTGGTCTCGGAAGCCCCGGGAGTAGTTCTCCTGTATCCCATAGGGCTGCTGTGAGCTGCAGCTGGCTCAGTGGGTGTTTCAGATTTGGGTATGATATAGTACTATCACACCAACTGAGAGCATATGTGCATTTAAAAACATATCAAAATGACTGAAGTGAATAAAATCAATGGAGAAATAACTGCACGTTTTACTTTTCAGATTCCAGAAGCCAATGTCCTGGGCCAGGTTGGGCAAGGCTATAAGTACGCCATCGGGAGTCTCAATGAAGGTCGAGTAGGCATTGCGGCTCAGGTAGGTCACTTAAGCTACCAACACCAAAACCAAACCAAACTGGCAGGAAAACCAGCGACTGCATAGAAGTCTGTGAACACAAGATGGCGCTCTTTCCTTACACAATGTGGTAAAACCACTTCTGCTCTTAATCTCAAATTCCTTTTAGGGCAATTGTATGTGTCCAGAGAACCAAACAATGGCTTAGTAATAACAGCTTTTCTTCTTTGAGATCTTTAAGGTTCAATCCAATACCTGGATTGAGCTTCTAAAATGTACTATAAATTTAATATGCCACTTTTTAAGAACTCAACTTTTCCAAGCACGAAATTCATTCTGGAAGAAATATAAATTAAGGGGAAATAGTATTTATTCTGTGTAGTAAGGGTTTCTTATCACAAATAATGAAATATTTGTTGCTTTGTGTTTTGCAAAGGAAAATTGGGCCAATTCTGTGTGGCACATAAAATAAAAGAGATAGAATCAAATAGATGAGAATAATTTAAAATGTTTTTGCTAAATTTGCCCTGTATAGTGCATACTATACTCTTATATTAAATGATTCCACTTTTCTAGCTTAAAAAAGTGAACAAGGTCTTTGGTTTTATGATAATTTATATCATCTTGTATTTTTTGTTTGTTTGTTGTTGTTGTTAAATGCCGTCAAGTCAGTTCCAACTCATAGCAACCCCTGAACAGGGTTTCTAGGGAGCAACTGGTGAACTTGAACTGCCAGCCTCGCAGTTCACACCGACTTTGCAGTCCTGCACATTAACCCATAGGGCCACACACCAGGACTCAGTGTTTGTCATTAGTGGGTATCTAAAATTGGAGCATTTATAGCTTTTCGATTTGGAAGATACCATCTGGATTAGCTACGGGAGTAGTTAGATGCTGTATTAGTCCACATTTTCCTTCTACTGCTATTATTTTACTTCAAAAGTGTTCTAAGATCACAGCCCAGCCTGGACTCCCCACTAGCTTAGATCATCTGTCATAAAGAGTCTTAGTGTATCTGTGCTTTTTAAGGGTTTTCTGGGCTTCAACTTGGGCAGATACGACAGGAAGCACTACTGTCCTGAATCCAGTTGCTCCCAGACATATAAATAATAGAGATGTTCTGGCAGTAAAACGCACAGCCTGGGTTTTTGTCTAATGACTGCACGTTGTCTTATAGCCTAATTAAAAGTTAAGGTCAGACAGTGCTGTCTTGGCCAGTGCTGTGGGTGCCTGTAGGTGAAAAGGCACTGCAGAATCCCCACTGGAAGAGAGAATTGGGTTTCATCTCCCTTGTTTACCGTGAGAGCGTGTTCCTGAGATGGAAACGGTCTGTTTTGGTTGTTTGGTTGACAAGCGCTCTTTCCATCTCCACGTGAACACAGTACATCGTGACATGTGCGTGTTTGGTTGACAAGCGCTCTTTCCATCTCCACGTGAACACAGTACATCGTGACGTGTGCGTGTTTGGTGGTGTTGGGAAGTGCCGTCGAGTCAGTTTTGACTCATAGTGATCCTGTCTAGGGTTTCTGAGGAGCGGCTGGTGGGTTTGAACTTGTGGTGTGCAGTCCAGTGCTGAGCCACAACACCACACCAGGACTCTGTACGCACGTAGTGACGTCATTTCCCTCATAGCCCAAGGTGCAGTCAGTCCACCGCCTCTCTTTATTTTATGGGGTTTTTGTTTTTGTCTCTTTAATTTTTGACATAGTTTCTATTTGCTAGAAAGTTCAAAATAAAAGGCTAAGGGGAAACTGGAATGAACATTAACAAAGTAGAGATAAATTTGGGGGCTTTTCCAACCCAAAACTCGAATTATTGATTTTCCCCCTCCTTTTTCTAAAATCAGCAGTTTGACAAAATTAGATGATTTAGTGTCTACCGCTCACTGTTCTGCAGGAGAAAGATGAGGCTTTCTGCTCACGTAAAGATTTGCAACCTCAGAACCTCAGAGTCGGAAACCTACTCCACGACACCCCCACCCCCACCCCCACCAGTGGCGTACCTGGTGCTGAAATGGAGAAAGCACTCCAGGCTGGCACCACTCGGTAGACACTGGCTACCAAGGAGGTTATTTGGTTAAACTTGGGGCCACATCTGGATCTGTCCTGGCAGTGTGTGAATGATGCTGTCACCATGGGAGGGGTCTAAAATGCTGGAGCTCGGGCCTGGCTTCCCCACCCCCAGGAAGCTGATGCAGTCCTTCAGGCCAGCATTGGTGTTTTTTATCAGAAACTGAAGTTCCTCAGATGAAGCTAATGTGTGCTGCTCTTCTATGTTCTGAAAACCTTTCCACCTGTGCTCTTATTAATCCTGATCATATGCAGAATGGGCAGGAAAGCTGGCAAACAGTGACCTTCCACATTTGACTTCTGGAAGGCCGGTGCTTAGAGGAGAAGCTTCTGGAAAGGGCCCAGGCGACGTGAGCACCCCAGAAGCCTGTCCCTGTGCTAGTGTGCATTAGCAGGAAGTCGCTCAGCGGTCTCTAGTCACTGAAACACGGTTGTCCATCCGCAGTGTGTGAAGCTGTGTTGCTGACACACACCTCACCCCGTCAACACACCTACTTCCATCCCTGCCCAGTGAGTCCATTTGCCAGTGCAAGGAGTTGACACCTGCAATAATCATAAACTTATGACAGAATAAGAGATTCTGAGCTTGCCTTTTTTTTCCTCACAGATGCTGGGTCTGGCACAAGGATGTTTTGACTACACTATCCCCTATATTAAAGAAAGGGAACAATTCGGCAAGAGACTATTTGATTTTCAGGTAGGTCCTGATTAAGTTCTTTCAGGGTACTCCGTCTCCCGTCCTACCCTTAGTAGGGAGCTGCATTGTAAAGCCACAGAGAGTCCTCCGCTCAAGGAACGTTAAAGGGAGAGGGCTAGAGAGGCAGAAATAGGGCTCGGGAAGGAACTCCAGAAAGCCTGGTCCTTCCTCAGGAGCAGAGGGCTGGCCCTGGATGACCAGCCCTGGTGTGGTTCAGGATAACCTGCTGAGAACTTCAGAGCATTTCCTTACTGCTTCATAAGTTCCAGGGCACAGGCTCTGAGTTCAAATTCTGGTTCTTCTGCTTGCTGGCTTTAGGCCTTGGGTAAGTGACCTCGCCTCTCAAAGCCTTAGCTGCCTCCTTTGTGAAATGAAGAGAGTACCACCTGCTCTGCAGGCTGCCTTGCCCTTGAGATCCGGGGAAAGTGCTTTGCAGCTTGCCTGGCTCTACCATGTGCTCAGTAAGTGCTCCCGCTTGTCACCTGGTGGCCAGGCGGCCATCTTCTGAGGACTGTCCACTGGCACTTTCTACTTATGGCCGTTTCAGCTTGCTGAGGCGTGCAGGTGAGATGTTCTCATGCAGCTGAGCATCTTAGGGAACGCAAACTTGCAAATGGCCCCTAAACCTTGGCTTCTCGGGGCTCCCGGGCCCTCAGGATCTGTCTCCATCGAAGTTTAGTCAGGTTGAGGGGCAGGCTGAAGTGGGAGCTTTCTAAGCCCACGTGACCTCAGCTGTCACCTCAGCTGTGAGTCCTCCCTGGAAGCATCTCCCCATTCCAAATGCAGTGTCTTGTTGCACCCCCAGCTCCGTCTCCCTGTGGTGTGCTCAGGGTATATAATAATGGTGAGGCCGCTTGTAGGCTAGGCCTCAGGCATGCGCAGTCAGTCATTCCGGGGCCTAGAAGGATGGAGCATGGCAGACCTGGCCAGTGCCCACCACAGCTGGACTGCTATTCCCACCTCCCACCCAGGAAACAGAGCCAGGTGGAGGTTCTGTTCCCAAGGTCGCCCAGCTGGTAAGGTACCCGAATGATCTAATAAGATCCACAGGATCTAAATGATCCTTGTTCTAGTAAGTTTCATTATACTTGAGCATCAGACCAGCACACAGAGAGTTACAAAAGGGACCGAATGTGAGGGCTCCCTGTCTCAACGGTGCTTCCTTATGTATAAGGGAAGGACTGGTCAGGCGCTCTCATATTTATTGACATTTCTAACAATGCCTGCCTCTTGAGTAATTTAAAAACTTTTCAAAATTGGATCTTTAAAAAGCATTACCAACTTTGCATAATTCGGTGAAGCTTTTATGAGCATTGATGGTTTTGTTCAGCCTGGTACACTCTGTCACATTACTGTGACTTGGTTTTGCTTGGCATGTGGTCAGTGATAACTTTCTCTCCTCTGTGCCCTCCATGTTTATTTCATGTGTGTATTCAGCATCGATTTTGTGAACATGTTCCCAGGCCAGCTCCTCTACAGGTGAATAGGTGCGAGGCTGGAGCTATGCCTGTCTCTGTGCTGCCTCCCATGGCCCTGATGACAGTAACTAAATCCATAACTTGGATGGCAAACACGGCTTTAATCGAATTGAATATACTTTTCAGAAATAATCAGAATCTCTGAATTCCACATACCAAGCCAAAAAGCTATTTCTAGAATAGTGAGACTATGTAGGAATAAGTCACTTGACCGATGGGACAAAACAGAAAGCTCAGAGATAGACCCACCCTCTATGAAAACTTGATACAAGACAGAGAGAGGATTGCAGGCTATTGAGTATGAATCTTAGTCTTTCTATGTGGGAAAAAATGAAACTGGGACCCTAACCTCACGCCATACATAGAAAACAGATTTCAGACTATTAAAGACATACTATGAAAAGCAAAACTTTTTAAAGTATTAGGAGAATATCTTCATGACCTCATGGCAGAAAATTTTTATTAAAAAGTTATAAAACGTGATTCATGAAAGAGAATAAGATTGGTAAATTTGACTATTAAATCTCTTTGCCTCAAAAGATGCTATAAATGAAAGGCCAGACCTATGGGAAATAAAATTGGATTGACGAGTGTTCAGCTTGTTATTAGCCCTCATAACTTACATGTGGAGCCCTGGTGTGGCGCTGTGGGTTAATGTGCCAGACTGCAAAGTCTCTCTGAACCATAAGGTTGGTGGTTCAAGCTCACCAGTGGCTCCTTGGAAACTCTATACTGGGTCGCTATGAGTGGGAACTGACTCCACGGCACTTAACAACAACTTACATATATCTAGCATAGCCTTTTATACTTATCAAATATTACAGAAAGGAGGGGAGAATCTGAAGGATATTTATGAACAGTGCTGTTTTGCCCTAGCTTACCCCTTTTTGGCTTGTTAGTTTAGAAAAGGCCATTTCTGTGATTATTGTGCAGTAATTACCTTAATTAACAAGGCTCTCCATCTTAATTGAATTGTCTGTTCTTATGGGACCATGGACGTCAGAAGAACAAGGAACTCTACCCCCTTATTCAACAAAGTGCCTGGTACAAAGTGGGTGCTCAATAAATGTTTCGATGGATGAATGGGTCGAGCAACTATTTCCTTTTTGAAAAGATATATTTTTTTGGTTTTTATTTATGTTGTTGCTGTTGAGAACATATGCAGCAAAACAGTGAATTGGCCTAAAAACATGTTCAGTGTTTCTGTTCTACTTCCTATTTTGCTGTAGAGAGCCTGGGGTCTTAAAAGCTTCCAAGTGACCACCCGAGGCACAACTGTTGGTCTCTATGGGCCTGGAGCAGTAGAAGAAGGGAGAATTAGGATTGGGTGGGATAGATGGAATGTGTGGCTAGTTGCCTTCATGAACAACTGTTGTCTCTGCTACCAGACCAGAACACGATGGTGCGCACTTGCCAATGCTGAACATTTTAATCAAAGATCCTAGAGATCTTTGAACAAGAGGAGGAAAATACAGAACCGATTTATAAAAATCTGATAGCTCTAGATTTTCTGGAGCCACGAGCTGGATGAAAGTTGCCCTAAGATAATATTGAAACCTTAACCCAGAAATATCCCCTGAAGTCTTTACAAACAAATAATGGTTTGACTTAGCTAGTTTAGCTTAATGATGTAAAAAATGTCAGCCAGGGGCATTATGATCTTTTAAGGCCTATGTATTTAGGATCAAATTGACAAGCAACTCAAGAGAGTCAATAGGAATGATTTCTTAGGGGGCAGTGAGTACATGTTCAGGAGGCAGCACTCAGCAAAGGAGGGGAGGAATGGCGACCCAACTAGAAGACTGTTATCCGTGGCACTGAACGTGTAGACATGCTTGTTGTTGTTGTGAAGTGCCGTGGAATCAGTTTGGACTCACAGCAACCCTGTTTAGGGTTTCCAAGGAGCTACTGGTGAGCTTGAACCACCGACCTTGTGGTTCAAACCGGCCTTGCAGTCCAGTGCATTAACCTCCAGCACCACACCAGAATGCCAGGAGCTCTGTAGTTGATGTCTGTGTTGTTGCTGAGCAGGAGCGTACACTGATTCAAGTCTCTGTGTGGACGGCTCTGTGATAATCAGTGTGCCCATTCTAATGAACACCTGCATCTTCCCTCGTTTCCATTTGTGAACTCTGCATATTCGTATTCCCATGCTTACTGGGATTGACATTTCACATGTGCCTACTTACCCCTTGCAAGTTGGTAGTCATTTCTTGAGGAGCTCTGGTAGCGTAGTGGTTATGAGCCAGGCTGCTAACCTCAAGGTCAGCAGTTCGAAACTACCGGCTGTTCCACGGGAGAAAGATGAGGCTTTCTGTTCCTGTAAAGATTTACAGCCTCGGAAACCTTGTACAGGGTCGCTATGGGTCAGAACCGACTCCACGGCACATGACCACCACCACCACAATCTATTTCTTTAGGGTGTTGACTAGTTATTCCACTTAAAGAAATTGGTTCTTGTTCCTAGATGTGTGCAGTAGAATCACTTTAATAACATTGTTGTTAAGTGCCATCGAGTCAGTTCTGACTCACAGCAACTTTGTGTAAGGTTTTCAAGGAGCAACTGGTGGGCTTGAACCATTGACCTTGAGGTTAGCGGTACAGTGCTTCTACAGCACCCCACTAGGACTCCTTAATAGCATTACTTGAAGGAAAAATATTGGTGCATGAAATATACCTCTATGACTGCAATGAACATCTTCCAGTGCCTTAAAACCATATATAAGATCCAATTTTTCTCACTCAATTCAAGCAAATGAAAAACATGCTCAAGTTTTTGCTCTGCTGGAAGTTAGTTTATGTTCAATTTTGATCAGGAAGTGTTGGAAGTACTTGTTAACTGTAATAGTCAAATTTTTAAATCTAACTTTGTGCTAATTTATTATTTAAATTTTGACAGTTATAAAGAATTATACGAACTTTGGAAATGTTCTCAAAAAAGAGGGTTTAACAATGCAAGCAATGCCATCTTGCATTTTAGATCACAGATTTGAAAGTATTTAAAAGCTGCGTGTGCGTTTCCTTTGGGGTGTATGCGAGTCAGACAGTGGTCAGTGTTCTGTAGCCAGGCCGGACTTTGAAGGTATGTTTTCAGAAATCCTTATTCTCTAACTTGGGCCTGAATGTTACAGGGTCTCCAACACCAAGTGGCTCATGTGGCCACCCAGCTGGAAGCTGCCAGATTGTTGACGTACAACGCGGCCCGGCTTGTAGAAGCTGGAAGGCCCTTCATAAAAGAAGCATCAATGGCCAAATACTACGCATCCGAGGTGAGAGTTAAAAATCAGAACAGTGACTCTGAGTCCTGGGGTGGCGCTGCCGGATCAGCACTGGTTCAAACCCACCAGGCCCTCCTTGAGAACCCTGTACAAGGTTGTTATGAGCCAAAACCAACTTGACGGCACTAAACACCACTACCAGTGTAACCCTAATAGTTGTTTCAGGTACGTGCTAATTAGGAGTTGGTTGAGAGTTTATTGGTTGGACTTCCCAGCTCCTCTGATGGTTCGCCGTCAAAAGGAAGCTGCCACAGGAGAGCGCTTTAATTCTGAGTCTCAGGTTCTCACGGGTCCTAAGTGGGGAACCGGAGTTCAAGGGGTGAGTGGCTGAGTTACTGCTGTGACAGGAATACCAAAAGTGGGTGACTTTAAAAAACAAATTAATTTTCTCACTGTTTTGGAAGCTAGAAGTCTGAATTCAGGGTTGGCTTAGGGGAAGGCTTCACTCTATTGGCTCTGGGGGACGGGCCTTGGCTCTTCAGCCTCTGTTTCCTGGTTCCTTGGAGATCTCCACTTGATGTGACTTTGGTCTTCCCCCATCTCTGCCCATCTCGTTTGCTTATTTAATCTCTTTTGTATCTCACCCTGCCTCATGAACTTGACAAAGACAGTCCATTTCCCAGTGCAGTCTGACCGAAGGCACAGATTCTGGAGGGATGCATTTCAACCCATAACATTCCACCCTCTGGCCCCCAAAGATTCATGCCCTTGTCACATACAAAATACGTTCATCCGATCACGTCATCCCCAAAGTCTTAAATCCACTTCAAGTACAAAATCTCGTTTTCTGACTCATCTAAATTAAATGTGGGTGAGGCTTTAAGCCTGTTTCCTCCTGGAGCAAAACTCCTCTTCATCAGTAAACCGGTGAAAGTAAGATGACAGTTTATCCAAAGTACCAGGGCGAGAGGGGCACAAGGTAAACATTTCCATTACAAATGGGAGAAATTGGAGGGAAAGAGGGGATGATGGGCTTTAAACAAGGCCAAAGCCCAGCTGAACCATTTACGTCAGCTTTGGAGTCCTGAGAGTAACCCTGGGTTGTCTGAGGCCATGTGGGCGACGGCCCCGCCCTGCAGACGCTCGGAGTTGGCCACGCCCTGAAGACTCTCGGAGTTGGCCCCGCCCTGAAGACTCTCGGAGTTGGCTACGCTCTCTGGATTCCGGCCTCTCAGCCCTGGACTTCTGCTTCGCCTTCCAGACTCTGCTCCCTTGTCTTCGGGTGGCACTGTTATAGTCCATCGAAGCTGCAACCTCAGCAGACCCCATTCTTCTGACTCTTGAGCGTGGTAGCTCTGCCCACTCAGCTGTGGGTGAGGTTCCAGTCTCCCTACCTTAAAGGTAGCCCCACACTTGAGAACCGAGTTAGAGAAGAGCCAACTCTTTGAAGCTTAGGAGGCCGTGGTCCCACCCTTTAGAACACCACCCGGTCCCGGGCCATTCTCACAATTGTTGCTACATTTGAACCCATTGCTGCTGCCACTCTGTCTATCCATCTCTTTGGGGATCTTCCTCTCTTTCACTGACCCTCCATTTTGTCAAACACGATGTCCTTCTCCAGGGTCTGGTCCCTCCTGAGAACATGTCCAAAGTATAAGAGAGCAAGTCTCACTGTCCTGGCTTCTAAGGCGCCTGCTGGCTGCACTGCTTCCAACACAGATTTGTTTGGTTCTTCTGACAGTCCCTGGTACTTTGAATATTCTCCTCCAACACCGTAATTCAAATGCACTGATGCTTCTACTGTCTTCGTTATTCATTGTACAACTTTCACATGCATATGAGACTATTGAAAATACCATGGCTTGGGTCAAGTACACCTTAGTCCTCAAAAATATTTGCTATTAAATACTTTAAATAGGTGTTTTGCAGCAAATTTGCCTAATACTTTGTTTGATTTCTTGACTGCTGCTTCCATGAATGTTGGTTGTGGATCCAAGCACAATGAAGTCTTTTAACAACTTTAATCTTTTTTCCATTTATCATGATGTTATTTATTGGTCCAATTGTGAAGATTTTTGTTTTCTTTACATTTAGATGCAATCCATACTGAAGACTGTAGTCTTTGATCTTCATTAGTTAAGTATTTTAAGTCCTCTTCACTTCCATCAAGCTAGCCTGTATCATCTGCATATCACAGGTTGTTAATGAGGCTTCCTGCAATCCTAATGCCACACTCTTCTTCATAGAATCCAGTTTCTCAGATTATTTGCTCAGCATACAGATTGAATACGTATGCTAAAAGGAAGCTGTATCTTTGAGGGATCAGAAAGCCTCATCTTGCTCCAACTTAAGGCGTGGGAAAGGTCTGAGGTTGATGATACTCCAGTGTTCACCATCTAAAGCCTGCCACCTCTCTTAGCAAGTTGTTCTTTCCCCATACTCTTTATCGTATTGCGTAATTGTTGACTTAATGTCTAAACCTCCAAATTGCTACCAGGGCCAAGGGACTGTATACCCCATGACCATTATACCTTGGAAAAAGCCAAATATAAAGAAGATGTTGTTGTTAAGTGCCATCAAGTCGATTCTGACCCATAGCGACCCTATATAAGGTTTCCAAGGAGCAGCTGGTGAGCTTGAACCACCGACCTTACTGTTCAAACAACTTTGCAGTCTGATGCATTAGTCCACAGCGCCCCACCAGGATAAAGAAGATACTCAGTAAATATTTGCTGAATAAATGATACCTGTTGGCAAGTGTATGAGTATGAACAGTACCCTAGTTTTCTTAATAAGAAAATAACAGTTTCGTGAGTTCATGGGATAGCTCACCGTCATGGAGTGGAGAATAGGATGAAACAGGTAATGCTGGTAAAACGTAAATTATCTCCAGTCCTTCCATGTGCCAGGAACAGGAAGCCCACGTTTCTGCAGCTACCACACAGAAGTGTCTGTAGTGCCTAGCACCTAGTTGTTTCTGTGTGTGATTTGCTTGTTTTTGGCAGGTGGCTGGACTAACAACTAGTAAATGTATTGAGTGGATGGGGGGAGTTGGCTACACCAAAGATTACCCTGTGGAGAAATTCTTTCGAGATGCAAAGATTGGTAAGTAGATTTTTTTTTTTTTTTTGTCCCACTTTTGACTGTTTGATTTCTTTGCCTTGGTAGGTGTCTGGGCTGTTATCTTTGCTTGCTTTTCTATTACTGGTACCTAGGCAAGAGTGCTTCTATAATCTGTCCAACTGGTTCTCTTCTGATGACTGGATTTTCTACCCACGTCTTTCTTCAAAAATCATGAGTTTATAATTTTTAAACATTAAATTGCCTTTTGAAATGCCTCAGTAAGTTTTTCAAGCAAAACAAATGCAATAAAACCTTGTTGTTAGGTGCTGTTGAGTCGGTTCGGACTCAAAGTGACTCAGTTCACGGTAGACTGAAACACTGACCAGTCCTGCGCCTTTCTCAGCATTGTTTTACGCTTGAGCCCATTGCTGCTGCCACCATGCCAGTCCATGTTGTTGCAAGTCTTCCTCTTTGGTGCTGAGCCTTCACTTTACCAAGCATGATGTCCTTCTCCAGGGACTATCCCTCCTGACAACATATCAGAAGTATGAGTGATGAAGTCTGGCCATTCTGGCTGTACTTCTGTCAACATAGTTGTGTTTGTTCGTCTAACATGGCACATTCCGTCTCCTTCCCCAATGCCGTAACTCAGGTACATCAGTAAAACCTACTTTCTTCATTTTTCTAGCTTTTACTAAAAACGTTACTGTTATAGTCAGTGTCATTGAGTACTCTGGGAGGTGTGGTGCCAATTTCAAAAGCTAGGTGTCCAAGCAAGCACGACTGTTCCAGGCTCGCTCTCCAAGAAGAAGGTAGAAGCATCACAGCTTCGAGAGCAGCCTGTTCCTTAATAACACCCAAGTGTACGCACTGAGACTTCAAGAGCCCAAATCCTCAATGCTTCAACACCCAATCTGGAAACTCACAAACCAGATGAAGTAGTCATCGCTTAGGCAGAGTTTCATAGGAAGAATTAAGTAACGGAGGTGCTGGACTGGTGTTGGGGTGAACGTCTTGAGTCTCCCTCTCTGATGGCTCCTCTGGCAGAGCTGGGGACAGTCTGGTGGCACCTGCCCCACTCTTCCAAGCCTCTTGTTTCTCTGTCGTGTGAGTGGCAGTTTGCCTGGTGTAGGCATAGTGTACATCGCAGGCCTCAGACTCATCATCAGGGCAGGTTTATTAACTTAAGTGAGTCTTCGTCCGCTCATCTACAAAAAGAATCACTATATCGGTATAAGTATTTCTGGGTGAAAACTCTTGGGGGGCAGGGATGGGGTACAGAATTTTATAATTAGCAAAATAGAGTCCTTTGAACCCTGTTCTAGCGTTCTGATTGTAGTAGATCCTGAAGTTTCAAATAATAACTGACTGGGGAGGTACCACTTGTCTGTGTCAAGAAATTTGGAAGGCAGCTACCTGGCTAGCTGATTGGAAGAGATCCACAGTTGTGCCCATTCTAAAGAGAGGGGACCCACCGGAGTGCAGAAATCATTGAACAATATCATTAATATCACAGGTAAATAAATTCCTGCTGAAGACAATTCAAAAGCCAGTTGCTGCTGCAGCACATTGACAGAGAGCTGCAGAAATTCAGGCCAGGGTCAGAAGGGGATGTGGAGAGAGGGATGTCATTGCTGATGTCACATGGCTGAAAGCAGAGAAGACCGGAAAGATATTTGCTTATATTTTACTGACGATGCAAAGGCATTCGATTCTGTGGATCTTAAAATATTATGGATAACGTTGAGAAGAATGGGAATTCCCGAACACTTAATTGTTCTCATGAGGAATTTGTACATAGTCCAAGAAGAAAACAAGGGGCACTGAATGGTTTAAAATCAGGACACGTGTGCACCAGGGTTGTATCCTTTCACCATACTTATTCAGTCTGTATGCTGAGCAAATAATCTGAAAAACTGGATTATATAAAGACGAACATGGTGTCAGGATTGGAGGGAGACTCATTAATAACCTGTGGTATAAGCAGAGGTAATATAACCTTGCTTGCTGAAAGCAAAGAGGACTGAAATGGAGATCAAAGACCCGCCTTCAGTATGTAAAGAGAACAAACATCTTCACAACTGGATCACAAATAGCATCATAAGTGGAGACAATATCCAAGTTGGCATTGATTTCATTTTACTTGGATCCACCATCAACACTCATGGAAGGAGCAGTCAGGAAATCAAAGGATGGATTCCATTAGGCAAATCTGCTGCACATAGCCTCTTTAAAACACTAAAGAGCAAAGATGTCACTTTGAGGACTAAAGTGCACGTGACCCAAGCCATAATATTTTTAATCACCCACTGTGCATGCAAAAGCTGGACAATGAATAAGGAAGACTCTTAAAAGAATAAATGCATTTGAGTTATAGTGTTGACAAAGAATATGGAAAGTACCATGGACTGCCAAAAACAAAGAACAAACAAATCTGTGTTGGAAGAAGCACAGCCAGAGTGCTCTTTGGATGTGAGGATGGGGAGTCATCGACTCCCAGACTTCGGACGTGTTCTTAGGAGGGACCAGTCCCTGGGAAAAGACATCATGCTTGGTAAAGTAGAGGATTAGTGAAAAAGAGGAAGCCCCCCAATGAGATTGTCACAGTGGCGGCAACCAAGGGCTCAAACATGACAACAATGATGAGGATGAGGCAGGACACAGGGTTGAGTCGGAACTGACGTGGCAGCCCCTCACAGCAACAACACATGACAAATCTCAGAAGCTTGGCTTTTGTCCTTTAATTTATTGACCTTCGGTAGAAGGGCAGGAAGTTGGCAAATATAGCTTACTGCAGAGCATTTCAACAACCTATGATGCTGTTCATTTTATATATGAGTTTATCTATTTCCTCTTTTCCAAAAGGGTTTCAGTTCAATTTGTAATAAATACGTGGAGTTGGTCAAACATGAAGCTGAAGTCTGAAAAGGAAAATAGGGGAAGGTATCGAACCATCAGGGCTAACCTGGTAAGCCTGGCACTTTTCAACAGCCGGAGCGTAAAATAAAGTGCATTAGTTTCATATAATTCTTTAGATCAGAAAGAGGAACGGACTAATCCTTGAAGAGAGTGAGGCGTCTCTCTCAGCTCAGTTCTCATTGAACATGTTCTAGATTGCTTTGCCGAGTGGTGCCATGTTTAGGGAATAAAAAGGCATGTTATTGATGATTGTTTTCAAGCAAACACAGAGACAGTGTTTACGAAGCAGATTCTTACATAGACTCTTAAAATTCACCACGAACCCACTGCTATTGTTCCTCCTGCTCCTTTCTGTTTCAGGTACCATATATGAAGGAACGTCAAACATCCAGCTGAGCACCATTGCCAAGCGCATCGATGCGGAATACTGACATCCAGGGCTGGGGCACCTCCCTGATGTCACTGGCATCAACACTGAGACGATTGTGACTTGCTGGGAGAATGGAGCTCCTCAGTCCGGAAGTAGTCCATTTCAGCCCTTTGCGATGATCCTTGGAGTAGGTTTCTCTGTTGTGTCTCTGTCTCTTAGACTTAGGGATTCGCTTTCTAATGTGAGAAGATAAGCATCCATGGTTCCTCTAAAATGGTTTAGAAGTTCAGTCATGCGCATATCAGTCTAGCTCTACAGAACCTAGCAGTTTCACTCTGTCAGCATCAGGTGACATAAAGATATTTGAAGTATTATTTATAGAAATGGCTGTTTTATACTCCTATGAAATCTCTATTTTGAAATCTCTATCAGTCAGAAAAATGTTTGTTATGGAAGGGAATTTTTATTGAATATTTTGTAAGGTTCACTTCTAAGTTGCTACTCTAAATAGAAATTGATAAAAATTCATTTAGAAAAATTTAAATCCAGGTTCTAGATACCTGAGAAGCC